AAAAAAAAAGAAAAAAAAAAAAAGAAAAAAAACACAAGAATAGTTTTGACCCCAGATTAACTTTTTCTTTTTCTTTTGCTTTCCCTGATTGAATTGTTTTTCTGTTGCTGTAGTTCTATCTTTTGTAAAATTTTTAAAATGTAATAGTATATATTGACAAGTGAAGTGGGAGGCACTGATTCTCCCTTTTGTTTTTTTTAAAGTGTTTTATTCATTTATTTATTTATTTAAATGAACAATGTCTGGCTGGCTTAAGCCATCAGCAAGCCACCGTGAGCTGGTGGAGATCAGCCCTAGGGACCTGGCAAAGTGACTCAGCAGCCACCTACAGTTGTTAAGATTCCAGTGCAAATTGGCTTGGAGCTTATTTATTCCTAATTACTTCATGAACACCAGAAGAGAGGGAAGCGCCTCTGCTTATCTTAAAGGAAAGCTAAGCAGGATGCTGTGATTCACAGAAGGTAAGACCAGTATGAATAAAAAAAAAAAACTTTGATATCTATCAAGGTCAGTTAAGTCTCCTCGGGATTTATCTTGGAACAAAGTACAGCACCTCTTAGATCTTCTGTCAGTGTCAGCCATCTGGATGAGTCATGGCCATTGCTTGACCAACTTGCTTTCGGTGAAAGCTTGGGAGATTCTTTTTCTCTCCAGTTGACTCTGCTTAGGCACATTGTACATCACTGAATGACTTCCCTTTGTAGTCTCACAATCTCCTTGATTAGAAAATCAGGTACTCAACTGATTGATAGGCTGTTGCAGCAGAGGTCTGAATCTGAAAGACAGTCTTATTACAACAAGCACTACTTGTTCTACGCTTTTGGAAGACCTGTGTATCTGGAATCAAACACACTACACCATGAGATTGACAATAATGAATTATCATACATATATGAAAACCTTTGTTTCTTAATTTAGCTTTATACCAAGAGCATCTTTTATGAGAAAAGCTTTTTGTAATTTTTTCTAAAAACTTTATCTTTCGACCAATGACCAAATTATTGGGGGTGTCTCCCAAGAGACTATAGAGATTACTGGGGAATCCTTATTAGTGAACAAAGGTTACCCATCCCTCCATTCACCAGTTAGAGTCTTATCCAATAATCTCTCTCCACCCTAAAGAATTTTTGTTAATTAACACAGATTTCTTTTTTTTTTTTTTTTTTTTTGGTGGAACAGGGGATTGAACTCAGGCCCTTGCACTTGCCAGGGAAGCACTTATTCCACTGAGCCATCTCCCCAG